GCCCCGTGCAAGGCCCTCGTGCGAGCGCCCCCCCCGCCTCCCCGGGGCGACCCCCCTCCTCCCTTAGCTGACTCTCATGCAGCCCTCGTGCAAGACCCTCGTGCGAGCCCCGTTCCAGCCCCTTGTGTACTGAGCCCTTGTGCACACGGAGGCCTTGTGCGAGCCCCGTGCAATCCCTTCATGCACGGAGCCCTCGTGCAATCCCCTTGTGCATGGAGCCCTTGTGCGAGCCCTGTGCCACTCGCTCGTGCACAGAGCCTTCATGCACAGAGCCCTCGTGCATAGAGCCCTCGTGCGAGCCCCATGCTACCCCCTCGTGCGCGGAGGCCTCGTGCGAGCCCCATGCCATCCCCTCATGCATGGAGCCCTTGTGCACGGAGCCCTCATGCATGCCCCATGCCATCCCGTCGTGCACGGAGGAACCCTCTGTGCTGGGACAATGGTGCCAGACTCGTTGGGTGACCTAGAACCTGCCGCTCCCGGGCGATGGAGCTCAGGTCATTGGGTGGCCTAGAGCATCCTCCGTGCCAGGACTATACGGAGCTGGGCCCATTGAGTGACCTAGAACCCTCTGTGCTGGGACAATGGTGCCAGACTCGTTGGGTGACCTAGAACCTGCCGCTCCCGGGCGATGGAGCTCAGGTCATTGGGTGGCCTAGAGCATCCTCCGTGCCAGGACTATACGGAGCTGGGCCCATTGAGTGACCTAGAACCCTCTGTGCTGGGACAATGGTGCCAGACTCGTTGGGTGACCTAGAACCTGCCGCTCCCGGGCGATGGAGCTCAGGTCATTGGGTGGCCTAGAGCATCCTCCGTGCCAGGACTATACGGAGCTGGGCCCATTGAGTGACCTAGAACCCTCTGTGCTGGGACAATGGTGCCAGACTCGTTGGGTGACCTAGAACCTGCCGCTCCCGGGCGATGGAGCTCAGGTCATTGGGTGGCCTAGAGCATCCTCCGTGCCAGGACTATACGGAGCTGGGCCCATTGAGTGACCTAGAACCCTCTGTGCTGGGACAATGGTGCCAGACTCGTTGGGTGACCTAGAACCTGCCGCTCCCGGGCGATGGAGCTCAGGTCATTGGGTGGCCTAGAGCATCCTCCGTGCCAGGACTATACGGAGCTGGGCCCATTGAGTGACCTAGAACCCTCTGTGCTGGGACAATGGTGCCAGACTCGTTGGGTGACCTAGAACCTGCCGCTCCCGGGCGATGGAGCTCAGGTCATTGGGTGGCCTAGAGCATCCTCCGTGCCAGGACTATACGGAGCTGGGCCCATTGAGTGACCTAGAACCCTCTGTGCTGGGACAATGGTGCCAGACTCGTTGGGTGACCTAGAACCTGCCGCTCCCGGGCGATGGAGCTCAGGTCATTGGGTGGCCTAGAGCATCCTCCGTGCCAGGACTATACGGAGCTGGGCCCATTGAGTGACCTAGAACCCTCTGTGCTGGGACAATGGTGCCAGACTCGTTGGGTGACCTAGAACCTGCCGCTCCCGGGCGATGGAGCTCAGGTCATTGGGTGGCCTAGAGCATCCTCCGTGCCAGGACTATACGGAGCTGGGCCCATTGAGTGACCTAGAACCCTCTGTGCTGGGGCAATGGTGCCAGACTCGTTGGGTGACCTAGAACCTGCCGCTCCCGGGCGATGGAGCTCAGGTCATTGGGTGGCCTAGAGCATCCTCCGTGCCAGGACTATACGGAGCTGGGCCCATTGAGTGACCTAGAACCCTCTGTGCTGGGGCAATGGTGCCAGACTCGTTGGGTGACCTAGAACCTGCTGCTCCTGGGCGATGGAGCTCAGGTCATTGGGTGGCCTAGAGCATCCTCCGTGCCAGGACTATATGGAGCTGGGCCCGTTGAGTGACCTAGAACCCACTGTGCTAGGACAATGGCACCAGACTCATTGGATGACCTAGAACCCCTCAGCTCCATGCCAGGGCAAGGGTGCCAGGCTCATTGTGTGGCCTCAAACCACACCCGGAGAATGACCCCGGGGCAGTGGGTGCTCCATCCTGGCTGACGTGAGGGTCCCACGAGCACTGCTGAGTCACCTAGAACCTCCTTGGGACATCTAGAGCGCGTCCACGGCCGCCTCCCTCACCCAAGGGGTGCCCGAAGGCACCCATGGGATCCCCTCGAGCACCTTTGGGCAGCTGAGAGCACCCACACGGCCGCCAAGGACACCTGTGGGGTGCGCCACACATCCGGTGGGGCGCGTGGGCCATGCAGAGGACCAATGGGTGACCAAGACGTCCTATGGGATCACCCAGTAGTGTTGGGTGATCTAAAGCACCCACACGGTCCCTCCGGCTGCCTGTTGGGTGCCTTCAGGTGCCCATAGGGTCCTCCTGAGGACTTGCCCAGTGCCCTCAAGCACCCATAGGATCTCTGTGGGCTCCTGTTGGGTGACCAAGAACACCCGTAGGGTCTGCCCAAGCCCCTGTTGGGTGCCCTTGAGCCCTGATGGGGTCCCCCTGAGCTGTTGGGTGACCTACAGCCCCACCCTGAGCACCCACTGGGTGACCTAGAGGACCCATAGGGTCCCTCCAAACTGTTGGATGACCTAGAGCCCCCCCCTTGAATGATCCCAAGCCCCCTTTGGGTGATCTAGAATGCCCATAGGCCCCCCCCCCAAGTCCCTGTTGGGTGCCTTCAAGCACCCGGAGGGTCCCCTTGAGCTGTTGAGTGACCTAGAATCCCCTCTTGAACCACCCCAAGAGCCCATTGGGTGACCTAGAATGCCCATATCCCCCCTCCCTGGGCCTCT